ACACACACACACACACACACACACACACACACACACACACACACCAGCTACGTCACACGTCGGGAATGCGGAGCTACTGCTGCTGAAGGCCTCGGGATCCGTGACAAAGTAGGTTAACGACGCTCGGGTAAAAAGAAAAGTTGTCCCGGGACAACTTCCCTTCCACCGACCCGCGGACGGTTGGACGCGGGGTGCAGGGTGCGTTTGTCCGGCCGGGATCTGGCGCTGGGTGTCGGGTTAACTCTCCGCTTCCTCCTCGGTGCGTCGTTAGCCTGGAGGCGAGGCACGAGCTCTGCGCGAGTTCCACTCAGGCTAACGAACAAGTAAACAAGCCTGTTTGTTACAGTGAACTGCGGCTAACCGTGCTAGCAAACAAGTAAACAAGCCTGTTGTTAAAGTTACCCGTCGCCGATCGTCCTCCATTATGGCTCATTTCACCATGTAAGTGGCTTGTTTCACACTCGATGACAGATTCGGACGAACACGACGTTGATCGTGTTGCGCGGAAGTAACGAAACCACTGAGAACAAAGCAAACATCGTGTCTTTGATGCTGTTGTTGTTGTTAAATTCCACCTTGTTGTTGATTCTGCAGATGAGACCCAAGTGAAGAGGAGCCACTGTGAAGCCACTGTAAAAGGTAGGAGATGCTAACGGGACGCTAGTGTTCATTAGCAGTGGTGTTTGCAGTTCATTTATCTCATTTCATTTCCCAACATTTTGCTTTTTATTCGCGGTGGCGTCTTGCTGTTTAAACGTTTTAGCTAGCATGCATAGCCACGTCAAGCTACATGGTGTCAACGTGCTACGCTAGCTGTTGACTTTCGCCTTCAAAATAAACAAGCAACTGCGTGAAAGCCGTGAATATCAATAATCCAGGATGCCCTCCGTCCAGCTAACATTGGCGTTGACGTATTTTTAGCGTCGCTGCGTTAATTCTCCATCGGTTTTTCGTATTTGTGACACGCTTGAGTTAGAGATATTTTATTTTGAAAAGTAACAAAAACACCGGATGTCCTGTCCACTGTCATCCACTGTGACATCTCCTGAGTTGCAGCACAAAAAGCCAATAAACAGACTGATGCTCCAGCTTTGTGTTTGAAATCACATGGAAACATCCCACTTTTCCTCAGACACACGTGATTAAACCCGTTGAGATTAATCTCCCGGCCATCCTCGGATTTGAGTGCGTGCTCATCCGGATTGAGACCGGCGTTCACCAGGTGGACGGTGTTGATGGTTGGTGGTCACTCTTCTCCCTGCAGGGTTAAACCGTACCTGCAACAACCTCATGAGTAGAAATAATAAAAGAATGAAGTATCAAATCAAAAGGCTTAAATCCTGTGTTGGAGCGTTGCATTATTGTATGGCTGCATCATTCTCTCATCCGTCATTATAATCCTCTTAGCGACAGGGATTTATGACGGCTACACACAATCAGTCTGAGTGGGCTATTCACTTCTCCAGCCGGACAATACAGATCTGCTTGTATCTGTGTTTTCTGGAACTGTGTCAATCACACCGTGGATTAGTTTGTGCATAAGCCTGATTGCTTCGTGCACCGATTTTTATCACAGTTAAATTTGAGTCAATCATTCGTACTTAAGTCCCATCAGAGATCCCCAGAGCACAAAGGGATGTATTTACATGTCTTCCTTCGCCAAGAGGTTATGTTTTCATCTCCATTTGTTTGATAGTTGGCAGAATTACGCAAAAACTACTGGACGGATTACGATGACACTTTGTGGAAGGATTCGATATGGGTCAAAGAAGAACCCGTTAAATTTTGGTGCAGATCGAGGATTTTCTTTTACTTTGTTTCACATTGTGAGATAGTGTTTTTCAACATTGTCATTGATTTCTTCATGGATTCATGGATCTCGATGAAAAAAAAACAGGCATGTTTATAGGACTGATATTTCTTTCTATTAATTTATTTTACTGTTAAAATTCTTACAATTGTAGTATGCATGAAGAGCAATGTTTGGTTTTCCTCCCAATGATACGAAATGATCGACATTAGATTCATTCTCTGGTGCTAAAAAAGCACCTTTCCTTTTTTTTTTTCCTTCACTCACACCATTATCCCTCAGTCAGCACTTTGTCAGCTCAGCTGTGTGTTCTCTGTGTTGTTATTTATCCCACAGAGAATACATAATATATTGTTATGAGCCAGGTGTCCACATGCACACGGACGTATTTCATTGCACAACGTTTCCTGCCTTGTTTTTGTGTCCGCTCTATTTGGAAATCAGTGATACTGGTGTGTAAACACCCGCAGACAATAACCATTGTGGAGGATCGCAACACATTTGCACCTGTTTGTGTATCTGTATGAGTGTGTACTTCATGTGCGCTGGACAACACATGCATGAGTGTTTGTATATCGAAGCACACAAAAAATGCACTCACACATTTTTTTTTTGTGAGCAATGTCCAAGCTGCTGGAAACCCCCATGTATTTCAGAGTGGCTTCTCTCTTCCTGCTCCTCAACTAGAAACCTATTGTTCCGTGTGTGTGTGTGTCCTCGTTGCCATAGGAAACAAAATTCTGAAGCATCCTGTCGTTTCCATTGGTTACTTATGACATAAACACACAACTACAGCTTTTTTCATGCAAGTCATGTCTGAATGCTAAAAACTTAAGCATGCACACTAACTGAACTCTCAGCAAAGCAAAATCAACCTTGTACTAGTTTGCATTCAGGATGCCATTGTTCAAGTGAAATGCATGCAGCAATTATTCAACAAAATAAAGAAGCATTTACCTTCCTCTTTCTGATCTCAGAAGCGTGCCATGTCCGGTCCCACCTGGCTTCCACCAAGGACTCTGGACAGCCCAGAGCGAGCCGTCCCACAGATGTCCCACTCTGCCGGGTCAGCAATCTACCGAGCCCCCAACAAGAAGGGCGTGTCCGACTTCCGGCCGAAATATGGTCCCTATGACCAGAATGGAGGAGGAGGGGGAGGGGGAGGAGGAGGAGGAGAGATGGTCAACAGGTACATGGCCACTGGACCCACAGGTAAGACAATTACACAAGTCACACACTGGAGTTGGGGACTGAGGTTTATAAGAAAAAGCTTCTCTGATAAAACTACACAGGCAGTAGGTTTGAATTATTACACACCAGATTCATTCTTCCATGCATTTGTTCTCGCTACACACATAGTTCCTCATCACTGCCTTCAATTAGGTTATTTATTGCCATTTTTTGGGAAGAGCTGACTCGTGTTGTACTGTAAAACCTCCTTCCTCATGGCAGCATCATCAGTGTATTCAAGTGGAAATTCCTGTCTCTGTAAAAATGCATTCTTCAGTTGCAGAAAATGTGCGGCTTTAAATCAAGTGGGTAGCATCCAAAGTCTTTTTAATAGACTGTTTCTTTGCTGAGCTGCAGCAGACAGATAGTGATGCAAAGAGGGAATTTGATAGTAAAATAACGTAACGAAGATAATTCAGAAAGTTGTTTTTAGTCTTGGCCTATTGTTGCAGGTATTTTTAACACAGAATTTAAACTGTGGATTTTGTCCCCTTCGCTTCAGTTGGAATTTACATCTTCATACACAATATTTTCTGTGACTAATAACGCTTTCAACACACATACAGGCATGTGAGCTGCTTTAAGACAGACGTAAAGAAAGTGAAGCTATCACTCAAAGACCTGCTCTTTAAGAAAGATAATGTTTTTTTTATTAATAGTTTTGCAATGTCTGTTCTTTAACCAAAAGGTGGATCCATTCATCATCCATCTAGCGATCACTATTACTCCCCTCCCCACGGTCCCAAGGAAGATCGCCACTGGGGCCCTCACATGGAAAGCTACGAGCTGATGGTGGGTACAAACTTAAATCTCGACCTCCACTCGCAATATTATGTCATAAAATCTGTTCACGGTTCTTATGTTGTGATATTTTTCTCATTTTATTCTGATGTTAGCATCGTGGATCTGAAAAGCCTGTGAGCTATCACTCTAAAATAGATGCTGATATCGACTCCCTCACCAGTATGCTCGCAGATCTCGACAGTCACCCACAGGACACCAGCACACAAGTAGGAGAATACCTGGTGTGCGTGGTTGAGAAAACAATTGCATCATAATTTTTCTCATCATTATTTTGGTTAACCATCACTCCGCTTCTCTACAGCTGTACGACAATGTGCCTTACAACAAATACCTCTCAGGGGATCACTACAAGCCTGCACACCAGAGCGCAGCCCCTCCTCAGGGTCGGCCATCCATGGGCTACCCCCCTCACCCCCATAGCCAATACCACCCTGCACCGCCCTACCCAAGCGAGCATCATACACCTCAGTACTCCACCTCCCACCAGCAGGACTACTACTCCTCCTCCTCGTCACCTAAACCCTACCCCCAGCCCGTACCGGCCTCCTACACCACCGCCTCCACCCCTACCGGGCCAAGGTTCAGCGTCCAGGTCAAGACAGCGCAGCCCGTCACCTACTCGCAGACGGGCAGGCAGGCTGAACAGGCCTACACCCCGCCCCCACCTCGCCAGCATGTGTCACGCCCCCAACACCAGACTCAGGCAAGTCCTCAGGGCTGGTACCCCCCGCACCCCGGGTCACAAGGTCAAGATTTGCACTCTGACACGGGGTACAAGGGGAGTGGCTCAGGGTCTGGAGGAAGAGTCAACCAGGTTCCGATAACTAAGAGAGGGATGGAAAACAATCAGACGGGAGCAGGAGCTGCACAGAATCCTGCTTATCAGTCCAGTAAGGTAAGAATCTGTATCTTAAGTCTGTTATAAAAGTTTTTTTTTTGGTTTTCCACTTCCATACTTAAAGTCATTTTATCAATTCTCTCTTTTTCAGCAGGTTTTACCAACAACCAGGCCTGAGGAGGAGCTGGACCGACTCACCAAGAAGTTGGTATACGATATGAACCACCCCCCTGCAGAGGACTATTTTGGTACAGTCTCAGCTTGTCCCATTAATGACTTTACTGAAGCGCTTTAAATAAAACAAAACCAAGAAACAGTTTGTGTTTGATTCTCCGTTTCAGGCCGCTGTGCCCGCTGTGGTGACAACGTGGTCGGCGACGGCAGTGGCTGCATCGCCATGGAGCAGGTGTTTCACGTGGAGTGTTTTACGTGCATCACCTGCCACGCCCGTCTCCGGGGACAACCCTTCTACGCCCTGGACAAGAGGAGTTACTGCGAGAGTTGTTACATTGTGAGTTAATTGTTTTGATGATTTGTATTTTAATATTTCCTGGTAAATCTTGATCGTTGCTGTACTTTCTTTTTCCATTTCCATATTTGTGTTTAGAGTACACTAGAGCGCTGTTCAAAGTGCTCCAAGCCCATCCTGGACCGGATCCTACGCGCCATGGGAAAAGCCTACCACCCTCGCTGTTTCACATGCGTGGTGTGTAACTGCTGCTTGGACGGCGTGCCCTTCACCGTGGACGCCACCTCCCAGATACACTGCATAGACGACTTCCATAGGTACCAACACCTTCTCGAGCTGAATACTCTTATATATGCCTGGGTTATCTTTTTTTTTTGGCACAAAAGCAAAAATATCACAGATTTTTTGAAGTGAGATTTTTAATGGTTGTTACAGAAAGTATGCGCCGCGCTGCTCGGTGTGTGGCGGGCCTATCATGCCTGAACCGGGCCAGGAGGAGACGGTCAGGATAGTGGCTCTGGACCGGAGCTTCCATGTCAACTGTTACGTCTGTGAGGTGAGTCTTGAGCCAAAATGTTCACATCGTTAGAGCTGGTGACACTTTGAATTCAATGCGTCTATGTAGTTCTTTTAATCTTAACGACTTTAGGGACTCAAAATAATTTATTCAGCAATTCTGAAGTTGCCTGGAAAATGTAGGATTCAATTTCCATAAATTATCATATCATCTACAGTTGAATTCACTCACAGTGTGCAAATGTTTACAGTACGAGTCCATGTGCAATGAAATGACTGGAGTGTCTGTGTTGGTCAGGAATGCGGTCTCCTGCTGTCGTCCGAAGGGGAGGGCCGCGGCTGTTACCCGCTGGACGGCCACATCTTGTGCAAGAGCTGCAGCGCTCGCCGCATCCAGGACCTCTCAGCCAAAATCTCCACCGACTGCTAACAGACCTCCTTTATCCTCCCAACCTGCTTCTTTCTGCAGCCACACTGTTACAAACCACGTGTTGTACACAAGATCGATATCACAGACAGGATTCAGCTCCGGCTTTGTTCTGTGCTATAAATTACTTTTTTCTTTTTTTTGTGGTTGCTCTGATCGTGAATTGGATCAGACATTTCTACAGCGCCCTCCGGTGGTGTGCTGTTGCAGTTACATTCACAGAAAGACTTTTTCAGTTTCAGAGTTACCGATCCAAATAACGACAGAGCAACCATCTCACTTATTCCCTTCCATTCAAATATCCTACCACATTTCTGTCTTTTACATACTCAACGGCCCCTGCTTTTCACACTCAGCTCAGTATTAGCACAACAGAGGCCTGACCTGCAGGCAGCTTGGGCTCCACTTAACATTTATTCATTCTGGTACTGCTCATCTGTTAGCTTGCACGTTGTCGCTACTGATAGAGATCATGAAAGTATGGAGGGATGTGACAGATTCTGGCCTTAAAATGTTTATTTCGACATATAAGCGACATAAATGATAAGCAGGCTGTTAAACTCTGGGATCTGTACATTTGTAAAAGTGCAGAACTGCCTCAAAGCAAGCATTTTAAACACACACAAAGCAACTGTGACTGTACATAACAGACTGGTTTGGTTTGTACAGCATGTAGTGCAGTGAATCTTTGCAGTGAGTAGCACAGTAGCACAAGAAATGTAGACAAAGGAATGTGTAGTTACAGAACAAGGGTTTTTCTCCTCTTTAACTTTTACTGAACGCTACTACAACATTTGCCAGAACAGATCTCGACATTCAAACATCATGATATCGTTTGATAAATCAAAGCTCTCAACAGGACTTTTCTTCTTTTTAAATCATGCAGAATAACATTTTTGAATGTCTACGATACACAATCTTGCTTTGGTTCTGTTTGATATTTGTTGATTTGGTTTATACTTGACTGTTACATTGAAGACAATGGTGCAATGAAGTCAAACGCTAAAGGAAAACAGGGTGAAAACATGTGAAGAGTCTGTGAAAACAAACTGAAGTTGAAGAAAATTTAAAAGATTCATTTACTTGACAAATACTTTTACATACTTTTTTGGACTTAAATGTAATGAATCCCCTGCTCTAAAGAAAACATTAATAGTATCTTTGGATCCTCACATGTGAAGTTTCTTTTAATCGTCCTTGCACTCACGTGGGCTGAGTTTCACATGTTCTGAGTCATTGGAGCTAAAGTGTTTGTCACAATCGCGTTTAACTGCCGTTTTTCCGTCCTCCTTTTTTGTACACGTGTAACTTAAAGGGCTAGACATTGGAACAGCCTTACCTCAAGGACGTCATTCAGTTTCATAACAACCCTCTTTTTTTTTGAAACTGTGAATTCTGCTTATTGTGCGACAGAACGTGATCTCGCTAAAACGGTATTGAGTTGTTAATTTATCTCATGATGTATATACTGCTTTTTGTCATTAAGGTGATCATTTCGATAATGTGTCATTTCAAAAACCTGTATTCACGCCAACTCATTAATTTTTTTTAATAACCTTACTGGGTGTTGTGTTTGAAATGCTGTGAATTGGAGCTTGGAGATCAGAGCCCACGGTACCGCAGCAGACGTCAGTCCGCGGATGAATTCACACAGTGGAAAAGAGCGGGAAGCATTTTGGTCTGAGTAAACAGACTATTGAAGTAGAAATGACGGTTACATGCATGTGAACCCAGAGGTGGATTTTTCTCCTAACGCAGGTTGTAGCAACATGATTAATTATTAAAATGTCAGCAAGTTCATCTGTGTGTTCGTCACTTTTTCTACAATCGCTTCCACGTTCAAAACCCATAAGCGTGGAATTACCTTCCACGTGTTCGCCTGTATCTTATCTTGCAACCCAAACTGCTCTTGCCTCTGGTACTATGAGATTAGGAAGGGGCGGGATCAACCAGGACAAAACACAAGTAGGATTTTGGGCACGGAAAAGAAAACATTTCAGATATTTACTGGCTGTAGTATTGTTGTCGGAGCAAGTGTATTTCAGCTTATGTTTCCTTGATTCCTGATGTGTTATTTCAGAATATTTTACCATAAATTGCTACATATAGAACATTTAACACATCAAGTTCAGTGGATAGTCAGAGTTTGGATCAGTCTGTACAAACTGGTGACGTCTTCTTAAGCCCCAAACTTTCACCCTGGTGATGTCAACATGATTATCTATCAGGTTATTACATCTCGGGCTTGAAGACAACTATTTTTGTATGAGATTATTGAATTTTAACAATACTAGGTTACAAGACAATTAACTTTTCTTGAGCAACAGCGCCCTCTGCAGCCCTACATGGTGACTAATTCTGTCGGGGCTCTGTGTCTGAGCAGGACAAAAAACAACTCAATAAACAGATTTCATCCATGAGCCCCAGAGTCCTGAACCAGACGAGCTGACACGTAATTAACAAATCCAACAAATATTTCAGAATTCTGCATATTTTAAAAGTTTCCTCATTGTGCACATCGTAAATCTCTGAAATGACCCTTTAATACACCAAAAATTGTAGCCTGAGAAGTTTCCATTTTAAATCAGAAAATTGTATTTCAGATACTGTGTACATCCCTGCCAGTCTTAAAACATACATCCTTATTACTGTTTACAATCACCTAAACCTGTAGATTTGACATCTTGCAGTGGTTACAACAAAAGTGACAAACATGGATGAATTCATTCTTAAAAGTTTCAAACAAAACTATTCCAGCTCTTGGTGTTAACACGAGGTGAACGTCTTCCAGAAGAAGTTGCGGCAGCCTGCTTTGCGTTCTCTTTGAGAGAGAGGAAGGTGCCGCCGCATCACCTCCACTCTGCCTCCAGCCGCCTCCTCCTCCTCCTCCTCCTCCTCCTCCTCCTCCTCTTCCTCCAGCTCGGGCAGCATCTGTTCTACCTTCGTCGCCATCAGCTCAGAGACAAACTGCAAAAGCAGCAAGTGAACGAGAGCCTGAAGGAGGACAGGACAGGAAATGGTTGAACATGTGAATCTCAGAATCTATGTATATATCCATCCCTCCATTCTTATGACAAAGAAATGTAATCAAAGTTTGATATTTTACAGTGTAAATACAAACTTTATATTACTATAAATAAAAAATTCAGCACAAATACAACCAATACATAGAACTTAGATTAAGACAATTATATATATTTCTATTTATGTACATTTTTTCAGAATTGTTTATTGTGCAAAATAAAAGTTTTAATATCTGCAAACAAACTTTAATACTGATAAATCTGTGAAAGTGTCACATCTGCTGATATCCTCACCCAGCCAATATATATATATAAATATATATGAAATGAAATATATCAGTGGATTACCTTGTCGTTTGTGAGTTCTGCTCTTGGTCTTGATGTCTGCATGTCCCTGCGTGGAGCACCGCTGACCAGCAGCACAGAGGAGAGCAAAGCCACCAGAATCACCTGCACCTGAGAGCGGAGCATCTTCACCTCGCGACGCCAAACCAAAGGAATAAAAACAAAATATGACCTCTGAGCAACGAGCGAGGAGGTGGTGCGAGAGTTTAACTGTTTGAGTGGGGAAGCGCTGAGCTGATAAATACGTCTCGTCATCCTTGCATCCTCCTCATTCGCAGGCCGAGCGAAGGATGTGATTGGTGGAGGGGAGGAAGTGCTGTTGAGGGTGTGTGGTGGAGGTTGAGGTCATAAGTGTCATTGGACGGGATAAGGTCATCATCAGCTGTGACAGCGAGGATCAACAGCTCCTGTGATGTAGCCACCAGAACCTCCCAGACCTGACTTCTGCGTTTCAAGAACTTTTCAATTAAAAGTGTTAACCCGGAAAACACAACAAACTGGGGCTTTGTCGTCGCTCGCTTGCGTCAGCCATGATTAGCTCGTGAGGCGTCCTGCACAGCACGACTTCCTGTATTGTGTGGAGCGTTGTCAGTGACACAATGTGACTCAAATGTTAATGAGGCTGCCTGGACAGTGTGAAGCAGCCCAGCTCTCCAACACCACGCAAGCCGTCACTTTGAGCAAAATAAACAAAGGAGATGCACATGGTATTCACATGGTGGCTGTTTTAATCCCCTAATGTCAAAATAAGGGAACGTTCACAGGTAATGCCTCCTAATCCAGGCGAGACCCCCGAAAGCTCATAAATTCAATCTGAGGAGATTCATCGACATGATTCCACAGGAGATATTCACTCTAAAATGATATACATATAATATATATTTCTTTTGGGCGGAAATGAAATCTACCATTTATTTTGTAATTTCTTCTTCATCTACTTTAACCTACTAACATCTTTACTTGCTCTGCTCAACACAAAAAAAACATTTTAAAAGCCATTTTTGAAAATACTTTTTTGACATGATTTTGTTTCGTAAGTTAGAAAGCAGATAAAATTCCTGACAGTGAACTCAACACCAGGACGTCTTTATCATATTTTTGATTTGTTCAATTGAATATTTGAATGTCCTCCTTCATTCGTCTTTGTTTATGACTCCAGTCGTTGCCACGTCATACTACAAATCTTCCTCCACACTCATTTTTGATTCTCATTGTAATTTGGAAATGAATCAAATAAAATTGGGAAAACAGCCCTGTATTTGAAATATTACAGGTTTAAAGGAGGACATAATCAAATATATCTACATCTTGTTCCTGAAATGACATTAACCGGTATTATTTTCACTTTCTCGTTCTTTAAATAGACACTGACCTTTTCTGGGGCTGAGATTTCTCATTTCTTCTCCGCGGGACGCTCACTGATTAGTCCAATTACTCTGTCTTTAATCACGACACGACTTGTTCTTGACTAACATTTCGTCGTGGAGTGAAGAAGCGGAGGATGCAGTGACTGCAGGCGTCCAGCTGTGCCGCCCTGGATGAGGGAGAGAGCTCCAGCTGTGATGATCAATCAACACACACACACACCCAACGCCCACATATGTGCTGCTCCATGATACAAAATAGTGCCAACATTTTGTCAGGGAGGACTAAATAACTAAATGAAATTAAAAAAATCATATTTACTGACAATCTTCCCAAAATAGTTCCCCTCAATGTAAATCATGGTGAAAAGGAATCATGCTGGAACATTCTTATTCCCTCGTCACAGCGAAAATGATGAATTATTAGAAGTAAAATGGAAAGAAAGTGTTTACTCAACCATTAAAATGAGGTTAGTCAATGCAGAATGTATATTTAGCAGAACCTGCATTTAGAGATGATGTACTGACTGACAATTCGATTGAATTTGAATCCCTCAAATGACCAAAACTAGAATTTAATTCACATTTAACATCTTTGAAATAATTCACAGCATAAAAGCAAAAGATATTAGAAGAATTATCTTTGCTCCTTTGTGTCTATTCTCTTCTCGATTTTTTCTGTATAGTGTCGACAAATAAACTATGAAAGAGTGAGATTTATGATTTGATAAGTTAAAATGCAGTAAATTAAACAATATTTGAGAGAATCAATATGATCTATTCATATTTATATAAGGTGTAGCCAGAGGTGGTAAAAGTACACACAAATCCAGTAGAAGTACAGATGACTCAAGTAAAAGTACTAGTACTGATTCAAACTCTCTACTCAAGTAGAAGTATATGGGAACAGGTTTTCATAGAGCAAGGGATCGTTTTTGTCCATTTAGGTTGAATCTGCCTTAATTATTGGACAGGCGGTGTTTTCAATGATGCTAAATCAGATCAAATGACAGATAATTATCCTAAAATTCATTAAAACAAAAGTTTGAAAACGTAAAGAGTCAAAGGTTCAGAACAAATTCTGAAGAAAAGAACAGATACCTGAAAAATATACTTAAATACTGTGACAAAGAATTTGTACTTCACTTTGGCTGTACCCTAAAATATATATGTATACACAGTACAGGTTTCTTCATTTGAGCCAGAACACACTCTGACCACTAGATGTCACTGTAACACCTCATCTTAATCCAGCACCTCACTCTGTTAAATTAAGAGTTTTTCAAGCGAAACGCAGTTTTTACGTAAAGTGCAACAAAAGTAAAACGATAACAGATTTGATTTGATTTGATTTGAGTTGATGTACTTACTCTGCAGTGGTGACGTGTGTCTGTGCTCATGGACGTGAAGCATGCTCCTGCTAATTAGCTCCTACTCTAATTACAGGTGAGTGAAGATGGCGTCACTTCCTGGAAGGTAAACACAGGACACAGTTTTCACATCCACCACTTCCTCTTTAGAAATGAAAATATCATCGTTCCATATTCAGTGTGGGTGAGTTTTTACATGTTGAAATAAAGTGTAGTAAGTGTAGTGGACTCATACAGTGGCATGTGTGTGTGTGTGTGTGTGTGTGTGTTTCAGTGTTGTGTTGCTCCTGCTCTCACCTCTGAGTGTCTCCAGTCCAGTGACTACAGGAAACAGTGAGGACAAAATACCTGTTTCCTTATTGTACAGATGTTCAGACAAATGAAACAGGATCCACAGGGGAAATATTCCTTATTTGTGAGATAATGCACAGGATGTGGAGGTCAACAACACAATATTAAAAAATGCAGTCTGCAACGTTATAAAAGCAAAGACTCAACAGAACATCACATTGTGCAGAGGATTCAGTGAATGTAACAACACATCAGACCCACTCTGTAAATTGAGTCTTCTTATATTTTGCTTTTGGTTTTAAAAATCTATGTAAAGTGTCTTCAAGCACTGTTAAAATGCATATGAATAAAATGTTTTATTATTTGTATGTGTAGGGACCGGACATATGCCTAAACTTAATTTTAAGATATTCATAGTATTATATTAATATTTTTCTACATAATGTTATGACAGTGTATGTGTGCATGCAAAATAAATCAAGTAATCAAATTTTTCCATAAGAATCAAATGAATAGTTCCACTGCAGTTAATCCTTGTTTGAGGTAATACTGAATTTCTGCAGTGAATCTTGACGTAGGCTGAAATATATGAATCTGGCAAAAAAAAAAAAATGGCATTAATAATATTTCCAGGAGCTTTTCAGACCAAATGCCTGGAGCGTCACTTTTGGTTGTCTGTCAAGTCCAGCTTCCTCGGCTCAATGATCCGTTTTGACTTCGAGGGTATGCACCTTAGTTCTCAGTCAGATTTGTTGTTGTCTTTTCACTTTCATTCACTGTAAACGTCTGTCATCAATAGACCGGTCTGGATACCACATCCTGTCTGAGCAGGAGGCCGCTCTCTGTGGTTACACCTCCCTGATCAATGATGTCGGAGACCTGGTGTTTCGTGCCTCCTTCCTGGCCTGTCACGTCCACACCCAGGTACTTTTGACTGACATTTTGTGCTTTAATATGTTATACATTTGTGCCCTTCCTCTTTAACTGTGTATCCACCCTACAGACGGGATCAGACTATCACCTGCATGTCTGGTTTGTGAACCTCCAGGCAGATGGGAAGGTGTTGGGGCTTTTCCCCCTCCAGCTCACTTGCTCTCTCCAGGAGCAATGGAGCTCCAGAGAGATCGTGTGTGAGGAAAACTACATGGAGGTGATTCCAAACAGTTAACGGCATAAAACAGCAGGGCAGAACTTCTAGTCTAACTTTTCCAACACATGCTGCAGAATGGGTGAAGCTGTAAATATGAATTTTATTTTCTCTCTAGGTGTCCCTCTATCTACCTGTCCTGCCTGTGAAATATGACAGTGACAGGAAGGTAAGTGTTGGCAGATGCTCTGACATTTATTTGAGTCACCAATCATGACATAGGATTCCTAAGACGAGAGAAAAAAGGGGAGTTCTGCAAATAAATATTCGTCCAGCGTGAAGATGTTTTTAAGCTTTATGTCTTTTAAAATAGTGTCAGATAAATTGATTGGATGTCCCTCGTTCAGGCAGAGATGGCTGTGATGTTCCACAGAGCGGACCGGCCGTCAGAAAGAGCCACAGTGTTGTCCCTGACTGAAGCTGCTGCTCTGAGCTACCACGTCTCAATGAGTGGCTCACGTCTCACCCTCCGCTGTCCCTATTCCTCCCCTCTCTCATACATCAGAGAGGTACTCGGAAGAAATATCCTTCACTCAGGATCAAACCAGCATCGTTCGCTTGTACTTTCACAAATACTTTTTTTTGTTTTTCCAGGTGAAGGGAGTAGATGTGGAGATTGTCAGTGCAACCACACTTTACAGACTCCAGAGCAACTTCCTCGCTGTTGACACCACTGTCGCATGTGTACTGAGTTAGTACAGTTTACTAGTACTGGGCTATTTGGTAAAATACCACAGCGAAGGGATTCAAATTTCTCTCTCCTCTCCCCCAGGTGAGGCGACAGCAGATGGGTCGGACCTGTTGTGGACTCTCCCTTTCATTCTTTCTCCTCTAGTTCACGGGCAGTTCAGGGACAGAGGCGTGAGGGTGGGAGTCAACGGCCAAGCTCTGAGCGAGTCTGACGCTAAAGAGAGACGATACAAGATCGGCATAAAGGAGGGGAGAGTGGAGGTCAGGGTTTCTACAGGAGCCTCTGGTGGACACATCAAGGTACATGGATAAATATATGCAGTATAAATATATACTGAATACACACCGCAAGTGCATTTGTCTGTTTTTTAT